GCGACGCTTGGCATTAGTTTGCATTGCTTGGCCTTGTTTGGCATTGCTTGGCACTGATTGGAATTGATGTGCCTTGCTTGTCGCTGCTTGGCATTACTTGGTATTGCTTGGCATGGATTGGCGTTGTTCGGCATTGCGTGGCGTCAATTGGCATTGCTTCGCATTACCCAGCATTGGATTGCATGTCTTGGCGTTGCTTGGCATTTGTGACATTGCTTGGCGTTGCTTGGCATTGCTTGGCGTTGGTTGGAATGGCATGGGACCAGGACCAAGCAACCCTAGGAAGTCAGCAAGGAATCAAGAACAATGAACCCGGAGAAGGCAGCAAGGAACCAAGACCAAGACACCAGGGAAAGGCAAGGAGCGAATACCAAGAAACCCAAGGAAACCAGCAAGCAACCCAGACCAAGGAGCCCGAGGAACGCACCAAGAAACCAAGACCAAGGAAGCCGAGGACCGCCGGGAGCTGCCTCACTGAGTTGACCTCGCACCAATCAATTTCTCTTGCAATACTGGTAGGGACCTCGGAAACAATCCTAATTGAGGGAATATGTCCCTCCTCTCTCCTGTCTCTTCTTGTCTTTTCCCCCTCTGCTTCGGTCGGGTTCGATGGGTGGCCACGGCCCCTGCTTTGGTCGGTTGTTGTTTGTCTGGTATGCTCCATTCGCTATCCTGCGCTCGGAACGCGCCTCGCCCCCTTATGACAGGAACGTTCCATCCGAATGCGTCCGGATCGGGCCAGGCTGCGATCGTGCAAGACGTTGTACGCATGCGGCTCGCTCCAGGGATCCTCATCTTCGATGATCGAAGGAGTTGGGGCCTCTTCCTCGGCGGAAGGCGGCGGAAGGTCGGCAGAAGGCGGCGGAAGCGAAACGGGGTTACCTCCGCTGGCGGAAGCCGGCGGAAGTAAAAAACGCACACCCAAGAGATCGCAACATTTTTGGGTTCAAGGTTTCCGGACTCCGCCATGTATTGTCCAGCGATATTGACTCGGAAGGCCCCCTCCCGCTGATTCCACTTCTGGCCCTCCGCCCCCGCCCCACCCGCGGGAGAATGCACAGTATTTCCCAGCGCGTTTCGATCATGATCGTTCTGGTTGCCCCTGCGCACAGGGAAGTGAGAAGAGAGGGAGGACGAGGAGGAGGAGGAGGAGGAGGAGGAGGAGGAGGAGGAGGTCCCGGAGCGGGAGCGGGGCGGGGAGGGGGCGTGAGGGTGGGGGGGGAGGGGGCGGCGGAGGGCATCGCGAATGGGCAGGGAAAGGGGGGGATGGGCCCGAGGACGAGGGGGGAAAGGGCGGGGCCCAGGAGGGGGGGAGGGCGCAGAGCCGAGGCCCCCGGGCTGCCTGGCGCGGGCGGCGGCGCACGCCGCTCTGCTCAGGTCGCGCTGCGGCCGAAGGCGGGGCCGGTACAGCGGCGATGCACTGGCGACGTCGGCGATGCACCTGCGACGTCGACATGAAGAAACTCGGGCTCCCCTTCGAGCCGCATCGCCGATGTATCGATGATGCGGCGCAATCCTCCGACCGCATCTACTCCGACCCCATCTTGCCATCTGGGAGGCCTAGACCAGGAGACCCAAGAAGGGCCTCAGCAGGGGGGCGGAGAGCGCACCAGGTCGGACAGGAATCCGTCCAGGCCTGCGGGATAGAAGCGCTTACGGGGCCTACCTCGGGAAGGCGGGAGGTACCGCAGTTGGTGGGGGAGCAGAAGAGGAGAGCAGGACAGCGACAAGGGGGAGGGGGACGGCAGCGAGGGTTCTGTAGGATGCCTTTCCTGGGCGGTAAATTCAGAGCTGGCGCCGGTACATTCCTGGGTCGAAAACCGACCTAGTCTGGCTCAATCTGGTTGAATCCCGTCTCATCTAGCTTCATCTCGCTAGATTCGGCGTGGTCCCGGGCTAAATCCGGCCTGATCTGGCTCGATGTCTTTTTAATCGGGCAGGAGAGAGACAAGGGGGAGGGGGACGGTCTAGGTCCTAGGTCTCTAGTCGGGAGCGAGGGTTCTTCTTCCAGGAGGGTGGCCCTCGCGGCTAGTGCAAGAATGCATGCCCGATTTGCAGTGGAGTGCGTTGAGAACACTGCGTGCGTGAGCGGCCGGAGGCCTCTCGGTGCTTAGGTGGAGCCTCTTGGCGCCCAGGGGAGCTTGGAAAGAGAGAGAGAGAGAGAGAAAAACAAAAAAAAAACGAGAGACGAGAGACGATAGAGAGAGAGAGAGAGAGACAGACGAGGATTGCAAGGATGGGGAGCAGGGTGATGGCGAGGGTGAGGGGAGGAGAAGGAGAACAGGGGGGTGGAAGGACGTGTGGGAAACGCTCGTGTGTCGCCCAGTCGCGGCCTCACGAGCGTCGCGCCATGAGCTGGGCAGCAGGCCGCGCAACGCTTGGGTTGTAAGTCGCGAAGATGGAGGTTCGCACAGGGCACGCTGAGATGGTAATACGTTGATCCGCTATCGCCACTGCGTTGCTGAGTTGGCGAGTGAGTATAATAACTTATGACAAGCATCCACCTTCGATGCACAGAGCGAGGCACTCGCAAACCTCTCTCGCGCGCTGCATGTTTAAACCTCAGCCAATTCTGCTGTTTCGCTCGTGGATGAGAGGCAACGCCGCGTCGGAGTTTGCAGGTCACTGCGAGCTCGAGCGCACGCACTATGGCAAGAGGCAGGTGAAGGTGAAATCTGCAACAGACTGCACGGGTGCACACCGATGAAACTATGGCGGATACAACGCTCCTGACCCTACCAGAGGCGCAGAATTGATTTTGGCTACGCGGCTGAATGCAGCATGTCGTTAAAACGGATGGAGTTGACTTGCGCACAGTGTAGAAGCAATGACTCGGCAGTAACGAGTCGCAGGGGAAAGTGGGAGGTAGCTGAAGTCCCAGTGAGTTTTATAGGTCCCCATGGGCTAGGGCGGGGCGGGAGGAAGGTCTGCCGTCGGTTGGCGAGGTTGGGGAAACACCGCCGTTGAGGTCGGGGCCAGTTTCCGATCACCCTGCGAGTTCTGGGCTCGGGGCATTTTTCGTCGGTCACTCTGTGTGGCGTTACCTCATGGGGTCCAGCGGGAAATCCCCCGCCCCATGAGAGAGGTTGCTGGTTACACAGTCCGAAAGGAGGTCCCATGGTTTCTGGGATATTGCCTGGCGAACCAGTGGCGGCGGTCTCAGGAAAGCAGAGCGCGGGGATGGATACGTATTCGATCGTCCCGCGATGCCCAACTCACTCCCCTGTCCCCTTGTCTGCAGGCAAGACACCGACGGACCACGTTGGGCTCAGGAGAGGCTCTGGTTTGCCGAGGCTCGCCGTGGTCAAAAAGGCACCCCTCGTCCCTGATCCAGCTGTTCTTTTGTCACCACGGCGACCGTATCTGCCGCCGTTTTTCACGAGCCCCCTCTGCTCCTTGCCTTCCTCACCTTCTTCTTGCGTCGACCGCTCGCCTCTGGCGCCGTCGTGCGGACGCTAGCTGCAGCCCTCAGAGTCTTCTGCCTCGAGGGGCCGGGCCGCGACGGGCGTATCCTCTGTCGTCGGGTTGGAGGGGAAGGGGAACTGTTTCCCTTGGGGGCGGGGGGCCAGTTCCCAGTCACATCGCGCGTTCTGCGCGGGACCATGTTTGGTGCCACTTGTGCCGGTGTCCGTGGGACTTGCCAGACCAGGAGGCATCGCGGTGGCGGTGTGTGTGTACCTGGTGGCCCGCTTGGTTTCTCCACCAGCCTGCGCAACAGGTATGTGCATCTGTCTACCTGGCCTTGTGCATCTGTCTACCTGGCCCTGTCTAGGAGGCCACCGCAACCCCTCTCTCCCACCAGCATGCGCACCAATTAGGTGCTTCGGTTCTACCTGGCTCCGGCCTTGATGGCTTCTGCGCCCAGAGTGTCGCTCCTGCTTCTCCGCCAACTCTGCCTCCTTCCCGTGCCCTGCGACGGGTCGCCCAGTCGGACCGCTCCTGCACCAGGGTCGCTCCGCCATCCGCCGCCTTGGGCTCCTCACAGCTGCTGCAGCGCTGGCGCACCTACCCTTGCCGCCGCCAGCCCCCACGCCGCTGCCTTCCCCCCGCTGGCTTCCTGGTCCTCCAGCCGCCAGCTTCTCCCGCCCTTCGACTTGCCGGGCCTTGCCCGCACTGTGGCTGCCGAACCCCTCCCTGGGCGCATTGCGTCGCCAACCCGCACCCGCTGCCAGGGGTGTCCCCTCAGCCAGGCCGCGCCAACGCACCCGCTGCAGCCTCGCTGCGTGAGTGCGCCCCCGCGCCGTGCCCCCCCCCGGTTACGGCCGCCTCCTCGCCTCCCCCCATCTTGCATGCGGGCTAATTCGCGACACCGCGCCCCGGTTTCGCACAGACGCGGGCGCGGATTGCCTCTGCCGCGCTGCTACGTTAAACGGTTTCACCTCACGTGCTTCAGGGAGGCTTTTGTTTCTGAGGTCCAGCGGGGGATCTTTCATTCCATACTAAGGGGCGTTGGCTGCGTAGTCCGTAGTCGAAGGGGTTTCCACAATTATGGGACATCGCGTTGTAAACTGGCGGCGGCGATCGCATATCTTCTGAATGGGGAATGCAATTGACATTCGCCAACGTTCGCCAGCAATGATGATTGTAATGCTCCTCGTTCTCCTCATCCGTCTACGCCCCCTCCCCCCTTCTCTCCCTCGTGGTGACGAGCGTCCTCGTGCCTTTTGACACGGACTGCTGACAGGCGGCGATAATTGTAGTATCTAATGGCCTTTGGCTCATCGTCACCACGCCTGGGTTGTAGGTTGGCATCTTTAGAGATGCTTCTCGGGGTCTCTTCGGAGCTCTCTCGGGGGCCTCTTGGGGGCAGTTTGGGGGCCTCTACTGGGCATCTGGAGGAGGCTGCGAAAGGAGCAGCGGGCGGACTCCACAGAATCAGCAAACCAGTGGACATTTGGAGGCCGAGGAGAGCGAGTACACCCCAAGCTTCGGCAGACCCGCTGCGGGCAGCGGAAGCGGCCCTGGGAGAGTGGAACGCAGTCTGGAAGGTGAACGACCCGATGCAGGAGCAGGAGCGGCGGTGGGAGACCGAGCCGCGTCAGGAGTTGCCAGAGTTCACAGAGAGCGACTTGGCCAAGCTAAAGAAAGTGGCGCGCACCTTCAAGAGAAAGACAGCACAAGGAGTGGACCGCTGGCACCCCGCCATGCTGCAAGGGGCTTCAGACGCTGCGCACTGGACGCTCCTGCAGATCCTGAGGGAGGTGGAGCGCACGCTCGTCTGGCCGCAGCATGCAGCCACGGTCATTTTCTTCCTGATCCCGAAGAGTGTAGCGGTCGATCGTGCCATCGGCCTCCTCCCGACCCTGGTGAGGGTGTGGGAGATCATGAGGGAGCCCTACATGATCGAGTGGGCCAAGGCGAACCAGCGCTCTTGGGATTGCACGGCCTTCGGCAAGGCGGCGGAGGATGCGGCTTGGGAGGTTCTCCTCGCCAACGAGGGCGACGAGGTGCAGGATTCGGACCCGCGCACCCTAGCGACGGTGACGGCCATCCTCGACCTGGTCAAGGCTTTCGAGAGGGTGAGCTTGCATGTGCTGTGGGAGCGTGGCAAGGCCATGGGCTTCAACACGGGGGTGCTGGCGGTGGTGTGCTCCTACTTTGCCATGGCGAGGCGAGTCAACACGGGGGAGGCCATCTCGGAGGAGACGAGGACTGTGGCTACGATCATCGCGGGCAGCAAGTTCTCGGTGGGTTTCCTCAAGATGGTCATTCAGGACACGATTGACGGTTTGGTTGTGGAGTACCCGCTGGTGCAATGGAGGATGTATGTTGACGACTTGTGCCTCAAGCAGCGAGGGGCGCAGCAGTGGATCGTGGATAGCTTCCCGTCCGTTGTGGACGACAGCGTGGACGGCTTCGCGGCCCTGGGGCTCGAGTTCTCCCTGGGCGACCAGGGCAAGGGGGCGGTCATGGCCAGCACCAAGTGGCTGAGGCAGGCTCTCAAGCAGGATGCAGCAGAGAGAGGGTTGCCTTTGGTGCTGGCCTGCCCTTACCTCGGAGTCGACGTGGTGGCCCACGGGACGGCGGCGAAGCACAAGAGTGGCAAGAGGTTCAAGCGCATGAGGAACAGGGTTGCCAGGCTAAAGGGGCTGAAAGGCTCAGGCAAAGGTGTGACTAGAGGGATTGGCTTGGTGTACAAGTGCGGCCTCAAGAGATCGGTTATGTATGGGTGCAAGTGCCTGGGCATGCCAGACCACCAGCTGCAGCAGGTAAGGAGAGCGGCAGGCCATTTGCTTCCAGGTTCGAGAGGAGCCAAGAGCCTCACCCTGCAGTTGGCGGTGCTGAAGGAGGACCCCACCGAGGAGGCCACACTTGCGCCAGTGGTCAGGTGGGCGAGGGCCGTCTGGGAGCAGGCCGTGGCAGGAGACCTGAGAATGCTCGGTGCAGAGGGCCAGGGGCAGGCGCAACCCTGTCGCCAGCAGGCCTTCTGTCCTGAGGAGGGTGCTAGGCTCAGGGATGCCCTCGGTGTCTGGACGGCTTTGTGGATCAAGGATCTGAGGGGCGAAAAGCACCAGCGGCAGGAGGACTGGAGCCAGTGGAGTGTTCCCTTGGTTGCAGAATACCTGCAGGAGGCAGCGCAGGCAGGCCTCCGCAGCGAGCTCAGGAGGGAAGCGGCTGCCAAGGCCACAGGTGGAAGCTTGCCCCAGGAGGAGGCTCAGGAGGCGGAGTGTCTTGCTGCAGAGGTGTGTCGGCGTGCGTGGCGGAGGGCGTGCTGGAGAAGGCGTGCAGCCTTCCGTTACCTCGACGCGCTCGACGATGATTGCCGCGCCCAGGTCATCTCGCAGTACAGGCAAGAGCAGGTCGCGCTGCAGAAGGTGGTGCGGCGGCTGCTGGCGCCGAGAAGGGCGCAATGTCCTTGGGAAGCAAGCGAAGGAGGCATGCAGGAAGAGGAAGGCTACCTCGGCGTCAGCACCATTGAGAGCCTGGTCGAGCTGCTGCTGGTGGCGGGCAGCCAAATGGAGATCGCGGAGGACAAGATAAGCAGGAGGACGAGTGTCGGCAGTGAGGCTGTCCTCCTGAGCGAGCAGATGAGCAACGCGTGGAGGCAGCAGCAGAAGGAGGTGGGCATGAGCCCGCAGTGGGCCAAGGTCAAAGGACCCGCGGGGGCGGTCATCATGTCACTGAGGAGAGCGAGGTGGACCTGGCCGTCGTGGACGGTCTACTGCACTATGGACGGCGAGATGGTGGACCTCACGGCGGTGTGCCCCACTGACGTTGGGGCGCTCCTCAGGGCTGACCTGCGCAAGGTGTTGTGGGAGCAGTGGACGGCGCAGCAGCCAGGCATGGAGAGCCTAGCCCCAGGCCCGAGGCTCCCGCCAGTGGCGGCGCAGCTGGCCGCGCGGGCTTTCCCTGCGCATGCGAAGCGGGCGGCTAGGAAGGTGGTGCTGGCGGGGGCCTGGACCATGGACAGGCTCGCCGAGGTCAGCATCACGCCGACCGACATCTGTATTGGGTGTGGGCTGGCGGTCGGCACCCCGCATCATCGTTTCTTTCGGTGCCCCGCGCTGCTCGAGGTCAGGAGGCGAGCGCAGGCGGAGTGGCAGCACGCGGCGGAGCAGCAGGAGGATAGCTTGCTCTGGACGCGAGGGCTGGCGCGGGACCCCTCGGCGGACTGGGCCCACAGGACGGTCGACGAGGCGGACTTCCACTGCGACGTCCTCCAGGGGACGGACGCCCTCCTGTCGGGCGACATCGTGTGCGACGGCTCCAAGCTGGGCACCAGCTGCTGGGCGCAGGCGGGGTGGGCCGCGATGGCCATCGACGCGGGAGGCGCCCCCACGGTGCAGCTCTGGGGCCCCTTGCCATGCCGATTCAAGGAGCAGAAGACGGTCAAGAGGGCCGAGATGTGGGCCTTCTTAAAGACCTTGGAGACGGTGCTGCCGCCGTGCAGGATCTTCACGGACCACCAGGGCATCCTTGACGGCATCAGGAGGGGGCCGAGGTGGTGCCTAAGCTGGGGAAGGCCGCACGCGGACGTTTGGAGGAGGATCTGGCACAAGATCGCGGACGTGGGGCTTGAGCCAGAGTGGGTGATGCACGTGAAGGCCCACAGGTCCAGAGCGGCCATCAGCAGGCTCGAGGGCTTGGCGCAGCAAGTGGCCAGGGGCAATGAGGCGGTGGACGCCCTGGCCAAGCGTGGGGCCGCGGAGGACTTCGGGCACGGCAGGGAGCAGACCCTGGAGAGCCTGGATGAGAAGGTGAAGTGGGCCATCCAGAACATCGGCTGGTGGTACCAGGAGATGAAGGAAGGGTGGCCCGACGTGCCGCCCAGGACGGGGCCGAGCAGAAGGAGGAAGCAGCAGAGGCCCTACGTCAGCCTCACGAGGCACGAGGTCGAGGTGTGTGGAGCTTGGCTGGTGTGCACGCGGTGCGGCAAGCGTGCAGCTTCGGCCAGGATGAGGAAGAAGCTGTGGGCCACCGCTTGCGCACCCCCTCCCTGGCAGGCGGTGGGCCACCAGTCCAGCGAGGAGAGGGGCTCGCTGGAGGCTAGAGTGGGAGCCGCATGTGCACGGAGGCAGAGGGCGGCAAGGCAGGAGGCATCCACGGCTGCAGGGCGTGGGGCTGGCGGCGCCTTGGGGGCGGCGGCGGCCTGCGCCGGCGTGGCGGTGGCGGCGGCAGCTGCAGGCGATGATGATGGAGATGACGGCAGTGCTGCAGGGAGGTCACCTCGGAGGTCGAGGTCGCCTCGGAGATGCAGGGAGGCGGCGGACGTGCCTGTCCTCGAGGGCCCGCCGAGCGCTGAGGAGGACCTCAGGAGGGCGCATGTCGTGGAGGTCGTCGGCCCCCACGTCGTCTGCCGCGTGTGCGGGGCCCACTCAGCGGTGAGGAGGGCCAGCTTGGGCCGCGCCTGCCCTGGGCCCCTGCCGCCGCGAGGGGCCGACGGAGGAGCGGACTCCAGGAGGAAGAGGCGGGACCGCATCCTCCGCGGCTGCCACCCGCAGACGGGCAGGCCGCTCCCCGCCGAGATGGTGCCCACGAGGAGAGGTGGGTGAGGCCCGCGGGCCTCGCGGGGCCGCACTGTGCTCAGTGCGGCAAGCCTCCAGCGTGGCGGAGTCCGCGGCGCTGGATCTGGGGTGAAAAAAAAAAGGCCTCTACTGGGCATCTAGAGGGCCTCTTGGGGGCCTCTAGAGGCCTGGGGGGCCTCTTGGGGTCTCTTGGGGTCTTTTGATGGCCTCTTGGGGCCTCCTGGTGGCCTCTCGGGGTCGAGGGCTCGAAACGTCGGTTCGGGTCCCTGGGCCCCGGATTTGAGCCGCCTTAGGGGCCTCTTGGGCCGTGTTGGAGGCCTCTTGGGCCGTTTCGGGGCCCTCTTGGGCCGTATTTGGGCCTCTCGTGGAAGCCTCTTCGGCTGTGTTGGGGCGGTATCGGGGGCCTCTTGAACCATCTTCGAGCGTCGGGAAGCCGAAAGGCGAGAACGACAACATCATTACAACAACCTTAAGTCGAATCAATGATTTTGGTTTCTTGGGAGTGCTATTTGAGGCGGCATACGAGTTGGCTCTGGCCATCGAAGAAGTACGCCTGGCGACCACTCCCTTGTCAGGCACATCGCGAGATCAGAAGAAGTTCTTTGACCTTCTGGAGTTTGATATTGGTGGCAATATCACGTTAGCCTTGGGTGCCCCGCTCAAGGTCGTCAATGCATCCAAGATTTTCTACCGCAGCTTAACATGCAGGTGGAAGTCATCGAGAGCGTTGCCACCATAATGGAAGAGGAAGAATGGATACCTTGAATGGGGGCAGCTGGAGTCCCCAGCAGGCACTGGCACTCATTGGTATCTGGTCATATGCTGTGGGGGACGCCGCCAATGTTGTGGTTCCTATTTGTATCGATGACGGTAGTTACCGAGCAACTGGACCTGATCATGGACGACAGGTGTCCTTGGCGACGCAAGCATCGTTTCAACTTGATGAGGATGCCGACGCGCAGACGAACAAGCCAAAGACAAAGTTTTTCGCTATGTCGACCACTACCGAGAGGGAGCTGATGATGAGCATGGCCTCTGTCATGCCCGAATCTGATATCAAGCTCGCGAGGCACTTTGTCTTGGTAGGTGGCGAGCTGTGCACGCATGGTACGTGCCCTACCACTCTTCGTGATGGACGATTTCAGAGTGCCCTTAAAGTTGTGATAAGAGCCCAGGCCGCTCCTGTTGGTATCCCAGGCAAGCAGCGTATCATGAGTGCTGCTGCTTTTCCTCGGCTTGCACCTGGACTGGAGTTTCGAGGCCTGGGTTCAAAAAGGGGGCAGGACATCCAGAGCACGTGCCATCAGTTCGACTTGTCCCAAGGGATCCATCATGCGAAGCCCAGCTATCACGATGACGTTGAGATTGAAAGTCCATCTTACGAATCCAGTCCAAGTTTCCTTGGGCCAGCCCTTTCATATTGCCGGACGTTTTCTTTCATCGAAGAGTGCACTGAGACTGATCGGCATGGCCGAACGGATCTGGCCAATGCATCAAGGTACACAATGCGAAACAGTGCAGGGTGGCCCGAGTGGTCGCCTTATCTCAGCAGCGAAGGCATCGGGGTGGACTTGGACAGAGAATATTGAAACGTACACCCGGCACGCAGGACAGACGATATCCATTACTGGGCAACCCCACGGCTGGTGGCTGCATACCATGAGAGATGACTGACGCAGGTATGTCCTCAAGAACGACAGACAGCTGGCCCAGAGGGAGGACATGCCAGGGTTATCGCCAGTCAACTACCACGTCACCACGACGATCCTAAGAAAGGCTAAGAGATCGACGGCGATGGGGAGCGATGGCGAAGAGCACGATGAAGGGAAACCGCAGCGGCCTCTCGCGCCAGAGAGCATCCTCAACGGCGAGAAGGCCACTGTGGTGCCGAAGCTCACTCGGGCCGAGGCCCCCTCCTCAGAGCGCGCCCACAAGGTGCCGCGGTCACAGGGCCGAGGCTCGCGCGCATCACTGGCAGGGGAAGTCATCGGAGATGCCCTTTTTGTGTGGCGGCGACTGAGGACATGGGCCACGACGTCTTCAAGTTGGCCAAGTGGGAGGCGAAGAGAGAGGAGCTGCCCAACGTGCCCGCGATGGAATTCCTAATGTCACTTCCAACCTGCGCCAGGCAGTGTGGGTTCGTGCTTGATAGACCAGAATATGATGAGTTTGGCGCTGCTTTGCTAACCTGAGGGCCCTCCGCTGCCACAACCACCTCACCGCGGTGATCGGGAAGGGCGGACCCTCGCGGAGAGCGGCTTCGTGGTGGCGGCGGGGGGCGGGGCATGCCCTGGACAGGCAAGTGACTTTCGCTTTCGCCAAAGTGGATATGCTTTGTATTCTGGCCCAGACCATGTGATGAATATCAATATGCCGCTCGGATCTGTTGCGCAGGGAGCACGGCGCGCTGAAGTTGCGGCGTTGCGTCGCTGGGTCAGCTGGGCATGGCGCCCGCAGGCATATTTGACGGATCCGGCATTCTTTGTTCGACTTATGTCTACCCTTCTTCGAAGCGAAGAGATCGGGCCGAGGACGCACGGCGACCTTTGGCAGACAATCGAGCACGGCATCGGAGCAAAAGGAGTTGAGCATTTCGCTATTCAAAACATCAAGGCTCACAGGAAGGAGGAGGAGGTTACCGACGAGGAGCTTCCCATTCGGCAATGCAAGAAGGCTGCTGACGAAGGAGCGGTCGAGGCTGGGAGAAAACGTGCTTTACCGACACCAGTATTGCAGCACCATCTCCGGATCAACAGTTGGGCGACTTACTGCAGGTTACGGCTGCCAAGATATTGTGTGCGCGCGCTGCAGAGTTGAGAGCTCTCGGAGGTGAAACGCTGGGTGGCAGGATGAAGCAGGTTCAGGCTTTCTTGCAAGCGGAGGAACCTGGAGGAGAAGAGGATCTCGTTGACGAGTCGATCCGCGAGCAAGAAGAAGAGTGCCTTTGGACTCACCTTGGAATGGATCTACGGGAAGAGGCAGCAGCCGCAGGCTCACGACTACATGCCTCCCCGACTTCGCAGAGGGCGAGAACGTCAGGCACGCCACCGAGCACGGAAATGGTGCGAATACGCTTAAAAGGCAAGCAGGCGGCTGGAGGGCAGGCATCAACCACCTCGACCACCACGCCAACAACGACGAGTCCGACACCGACAGGGACGAGTTCACCAGAGGCCCCCAACCTCACAGCCAATCCTCTGGAGTGGTCGCCGAGATCCACTTTCCCTGGCTATGAGTGGGACCTTGTCGTGCCGAATGCGACTGACAGAAGAGGCATCCCGTGGGGGTTCACTCCGAAGATGCGCGCACGCCGGAAGGCTGGGGAATGGATTCATCCTCAACAGATGTTCCCAGCGATGGTGCGGTATTATATTTCACCCAGCTGGAATGGAGCCATGAGGATACCGACTTCTCGCCGCAGAGTGTTACCTGGATGGAATTGACAAGTCATTTCACGATAATGGCGGGCATCCTGCCGCGTTCTCCCAAGGAGAACAACGAGAAAATCACGTGGGAAAGAATGGGGAGGTATTTCAACGCGGCAGCGGCGCGGCTTACCAAGACATGCGATGCGCAAGTTGCACCTCGACCTGCTGGCAACAAGCTGGCGCGCTCGACGGTGGGACTAGGCATGCGACCTGCGCGCGGGTTGCTATGTCGACCACATGTTCTTGCCCATGACGACGCAATCAAGGCCATCTTCAAGACGGTCATGTCAGCTACGTCAGGTTCGGGAGCAAACGTACCGACGTGGGGTAATATACTGAAGCCAGTCTGGTAACCGCCGAAGATTGACTTCCCGAACTTGATGGACGCGGTTGTTGGGCAAGCGGCGAATGCAGTTGCATGGCGAGTCAATCGACCAACGGCGGCGGTGCCCATGGCGGCAGCAGTTGCGGCCGCGACGTGGGCCCGAGAGAAGAAGGCTGCACTCCACGGCTCGCGCAGTCAAGCGCCGCGCGCGGAGGAGAAGAGGCTCTTGCGCAACAGAACTGCTGAGGGGCATGGGTATCACGTCATTGCTCCCATCGAGTGATCAAAGTCGCCTCGAATCAAGTGCATCATGTCTGAGAGAGAACACAACTGCGCGACCTTTTCGAGTTGGATGCGAGAGGTATGTTCTGGACAACAGGGAGACGGGCGAAAGTGCACCGCCTGGCCCCTGTTGTACTTGCTGAACGAGCTCGAGTGCACAACGAAAGCCAGAGGCCGAAAGCCACCGCATCCAGGCCGACGCTGACGGCAACCTGACATGCACCAAATGCACAAGGAAAGGGACCATGGGTCAGAACCCCGACAGCTTCATCTTGGCCACGTGCCATTCCTCATAGCGTCTGCGACCCGTCCTATTCTTCAATATTTGGCGTGTTGGAAGCTGGTGTGTATTTTCTTCTGATGCACCAGTGACCACACCTGCCGCCCGCTCTCCCAGAATGCCCTACGGGGCCTCAGTGGCTGGCCAGATGATCCAGTGTGGACGCCTGTGCTTGCCTTCAGGAGGGCGCGGCTTACTTATTTATTGGACCTCTACGGTGGGAACTGGTGGGTATTTTCTTCTGATGCACCGGCGGCCGCATCCACATCCGCTCCCACGGAATGCCCCTTGGGGCCTCAGGGACTGGCCAGATGATCCAGTGTTGACGTCTGCGCTTGCCTTCAGGAGGGTGTGGATTACTTATTTATTGGACCTCTACTGTGGGAACTGGTGGGTATTTTCTTCTGATGCACGGGTGACCGCGTCCACGTCCGCTCCTACGGAATGCCCCTCGGGGCCTCAGGGATTGGCCAGATGATCCAGGGTGGACGTCTGCGCTTGCCTTCCGTGGAGTGTGCCAACACTACCTCAACTTTGGCTGGGCACTTTTGGGCACTGTCTTCTGATGCGCCGGTTTGTCTGGGCCTATTTCATATTGGACGCCGCTACTTTGGAATGCCCTATTGGGCCTCAGGGAATGGCCAGTTGATCCAACGTGGACGACTGTGCTTGCCTTCCACGGAGCTGGCCGCCTATGTGCACTGGATGTTTGGATAGATGTTGTTTGGAGCTGGTGAATACTGCTACGTATCGGCTGCTTTTCGACTGCGTATGCCCTACCGACCTGATGGGGGGCGACCCGGCAGGGTGTTCTGGCCAGTCGTTGGTGATGACTGCGCTTGCCTCTCCAGAAGGTCAGGATGTGCGTGAGCGACCCGCAAGGGCGTTCTGGCCAGTTGTCTGTGACGGCTGCGCTTGCTTCACGTGCATCCACCTCGACGGAAGCGACCCGCAAGGGTGTTCTGGCCACCTGTCTGTGATAGGTGCGCTTGCCTTCCGTCGAGGCATGGCCAAGGACATCGATTACCTTCTGATGATGTTCGAGGGCAAAGTCTGTGATGTTGTTTGGGTCATCACTGCTGGGCTTGACTCAATGTGGTTGGTTGGCGGTAAATTACCTAGTATTTGGGTGGCATTGACCACCTCAGAATTTTGTATCACCGAGGACGTGTCCGAGGTAAAATACCCCAGCTTGTGTGTGAGAGAGAGAGAGAAAAAAAGAGACATCCTCAGTACATCCTCATGCTAGACATCTGCCTGGACGACCTGAACGCTTGCAAACAAGCGTATCGTTCGAGACATATTCAACAAACCTTGATGTTAGACATCTGCGCGGGCAACCTGGAGGCGTGAATCCAAGCGTCTCGCTCGAGACATCCTCAAGACTTGGGCACGTGAAAACAAGCATTTCACCTGAGACATCCTCTGAATGTTGGTTCCCTGGAAAAGGAGCGATCGATAGCACAGAACAAACGTTTCGCTTGAGACAGATTCGACAAAGTCTACCAAACAAGCATTTCGGTCGAGACATCCGCAACAAACGAACATGTTTACTTTACCTGGCGTTTGATCGCTCGGAATGTCAAACAACAACTTTTCGCTCGGGACGCCCTCAAATCATAGTTCGCTAGCCCTTTTCGGCTTCGGTATGTCTCGCAGATTGAGTTCGCTGGCCCTCTTCAGGTCGTTCCCGCGGAGAAAACATCTTAAACACAATCCTGGGCTCCATCCCTTTCTAGAAAAAAAAAGTGGGGCGAGCGAGATGGAGAGTCGGAGCGGGAGGCCGAGGTTGAGCGCATTCCTCTGCGCAGGGGCCCCTTCGGGGAAGCTTGGCGTGGGAGGGAGGCAGGAGAGAGGGAGCGAAGGAGGGATGAGGAAGAACGGGGCGGGAAGGAGGGATGGAGGAGGAGAAAAGGAGGGAGGAAGGGAAAGAAAGAGGAGGAAAGGAGGGGAGGAAGGGAAATAAAGAGGAGGGAAGGGAAGAGAGGCGAGAAGGGGAAGAGGACGAAAGGGGCGGTGGGCGAAGAAGACAAGAGGACTGTCCATCGTTTTTCTCATTGTTCTATGCTTGTTCAGCACATCGCGAGGCGGCATCCGCAATGCTCGGCCACATTCTGCCGCGACCTGTCATAGCCGTGCTGCCACATCCGATGTAGAATCATACTGCCCATGGTTCAGGATAAGATGACGTGCCGCTATCGGACGTACTGCCCTGCTCACAGCGCTGCATGTCTTGACGCTTGCCCGTCCAGAGCCGCACGGTCTGTGACGCCCCCTTGGGCCATGAGGTCAGAAGGCGTCAGAGACACGCAGGTCCGAACCAGACAATTAGTTGGACGATCCCCAGCAGAATGTTGGCCTTTCGATGTTGATGAATGTGTCGTTCGCGGACGGTGCCCATATGCTTGTGTTCTCCTTCGGCAGGAAGAAGACGGCGCACATGCTAAGGCGGCCGCTGGGAGATTGTTTTTGTCCTCTTGCCCGTGACGGTCGTTACCCACCCCGCGTGTAACAGTAATGGCCGTACGCAGGGAGGTTGGTATTGACCGCTTCCGAAGGGCGGGCGGGGCGAGGGCGAGCAGCTGCTGCGGGAGGGCCGGCAGTTGCTGTACGACGGGGCCGTCCGGAGCCTTGGCCCCGAGCCGGCTGCTGGGGAGTTGGTCGAGGCGCGGCGCGGCGACGGGTCCCCTCGTCGTCGTCGTCGTCGTCGCCGCTGTCGTCGTCGTCGTCGCCGCCGTCGTCGTCGTCGTCGTCGTCGTCGTCGCCTCCATCTTCGTCGCCGTCGCCGTCGCCGTCGCCGTCGTCGTCGTCGTCGTCGTCGTCGTCGTCGTCGTCGTCGTCGTCGTCGTCGTCGTCGTCGTCGAGGGGGGGGCCGCTCTCGGGCGGCGGGCTCGGGCCTCGCGCTGCCCGGCGCGCGCCGCCGCTGCCAGAAGGTGCGCGGCCGCACTCGCTCACTGAGCTGCTGGCTTCGGGCGTGCCGCTTGGCCTGGCACTCTCGGGGCCTCGCGGACGAGCCTCGGAGAGCAAAAGACGGCGTTCACATTATTTCTTGAGGATCACAAGACGGATGTCTTGGATGGGCGTTGGACCCCCCTGGCGGCGCCTCCAGCGCCGCCCTTGGCGCGCTCCGCGCGCCAGGGAGGGGGGTCCAGCGCCGGTCCAAAAAATCCTCGCGGACCTCAGAGAAATTATGCTTATGCCGTTTTTGGTTCCTCCAGAGTCGAGTGCACCGATCGGCGACGAAATCCGAACCCTACCCTCGCCGATCACGATTCGGGCAACTCGAGGGGCGGCGGGGTAGGGTTCGGAATTCGTCGAACACTTGGCGAAGTCCGAACCCTACCCTCGCCTCCCACCGATTCAGGAGAATCGATGCTTGGCAGGGGGCGGGCTTGGACGTTGCCACCTACAGCAGGTGCGCGGTCGCACTCGCTCACTGCATTTCCGCTTCTGGGCGTGCCGCTCGGCCTGTCTCCGGTCGCACCCCCGAGAAGTGCTCTCGCATCGAACAATGATCGCGGCGGGAGGTCGCCTGATTGTTCTTGGCCTGCGGGGGTCTTTCGCCGCGCCCTCCAGGGTCGGGGCGTCCCGGAGGGGGTGACGACTGGGGGGGCTGGATGTTATGGCCGGGGTCATGATACCTCGCCGGATGTCATGGCCCATTCTTCTGACTTCAATACGTGGGTGGACAGAGCCCCCACCCTGACACGCCGATTAGTGAATTGTCCGTTTTCGGTTCTCGAGAGGGCGCCGCGGCCGTCATTTTCCAGGCTTGCGCCCGCCAGGTTTGGGTCCGAGGTCGTTTCCACTAATTCACGTTTTGCTAAAGGGGGTTCGGTCCATCCCCGATGCGTTCCTTGGCCCCCCCCCCCCTGGGCCGCGCACGTGCCTCGGGCCATGATTTGCGAACCCCCTCTTGGACGCCCCCGACGCTCCTGTCGCACCGTATCCACTGCATCTTGGAGTTTCGGGCTCCCTTCCCCAGAAACCCGAGTCACAGTGGGTAAAAATCTGGCCCTTAGCGGCTACATATTGGGACGGCCTTGCGGCTGGTGCCGACGACCCTGAAGGGGGATGACGACCATGACGGCGACATCGGCGACGACGCTGACTTGTGGCAGAGTCCTCAGTGATGCTTCGTGGGGCCTCTTCGGAGCGCGCTCGTAGGCCTCTGGAGGGCAGTTTGGGGGTTTGGGGGCCTCTCGGGAGCATGAGCTTCCTCGAGAGCCTCTTGGAGGCCTCTTGGGGCCTCGTGGGGGCCTCTTGGGGGCCTCTTGGGGGCCTCCTGGGAGCTTCTCGGGTCTCGGGGCCGAGGTCTCGAAATGTTTCTTCGGGCTCCCATGTGGGTACCCTCTTGGAGCCGTTTTGGTGGCCTCTTGGGCAGTCTGGGAGGCCTCTTGGGTCCTCTTGGGGCCCTCTTGGGTCGCTGTGGGCTTCGGGGCCGTCTTGGAAACCTCTTGGGGGCCTCTTGTGCCGACCTCGGTGACATCTTGGACCGTCTCGGGGCGTTTTTGAAGCCGAAGCCTCATCTCATGTCTCATCCCCCTTCCCCCCATCCCCTCTCTGCCGACCGCATGACAGATAACAAAGCATGATACGGGGGGGGGCAGGGTCAGAGGCAGTGCGTTGCAGAGACTTCGCCGCAGAGGGGTGAAGGGGAAAGTGGGGGAGGGGGGATAGCATGGGGAGCGCGTGGGAGGGGGGTGGGGGAGAGAGGAAGGACGGGGGGGAGTGGAGCGACGGGGAGCTTTGGCTGCCCCTCCTGAGGTGCGCGACGCCTCCGGCCGGCTCGTGGCGTGGGGGGCCTGGAACCCGGTCTCGCTGTACCGGCTGCGGGCGCGCGGCGGGGCCAGGAAAGTTGCGGCCGAGGGGCCGAGGGGGGGGGGCGTGCTGTCGGGAGGGCCGCAACGCAGGGGCGGACCTAAACTGTGTTTTGGCGACTTCGTGGGCCGTTTTCGTTTCGATCTCGTCTTGCAGCAAGGGCGAATTCAAGACAGCACGAGGGATAACGAAAACAAAACGAAAACGAATAACACTGTTTAGGGCCAGCCCTGCCGCAGCGCTCACTAGGGCTGGACCTAAACTTTTTGCTGCTGGACTGCAGCTGTGTTTTTCCCAATCATCCTGTGGTGTTGGGTCCTCGTTTTGAAGAGACGGTCCCCGCGTTCCTCTTTTCCGCCTCTTCTCCCTCCTCCCCTTCCCCCCCCTCCTCCCCTCCCTCCTCCTTCTTCCATGCGTTTCACCCACCCAGCACAGCCTTTCGTGGCCCCGTAGGAAGCTCCACCGAAGCCCCCAGTGGGACCGCCCGCATGCGTCCGCCACCACCCAGCACAGCACTTGCTCTTTGCGTTTCACCCACCCAGTACAGCGTTTATAGGGGGCTCCACCGAAGGTCCCAGTGGCACCGCCCGCATGCGTCCGCCACCACCCAGCACAGCCTGTGCTCCCTGCGTGTCACCCACCTAGTACAGCGCTTCGTGGCCCCATAGGGAGCTCCACGGAAGGTCCCAGTGGCACCGCCCGCATGCGTCCGCCACCACCCAGTATAGCCATTGCTCCCTTCGTTGCACCCACCCAGTACAGCGCTTCGTGGCCCCATCAGGGGGCTTCACCGAAGGTCCCAGTGGCACCGCCCGCATGCGTCCGCCACCCAGCACAGCCCTTGCTCCCTGCGTTTCACCCACCCAGTACAGCGTTTCGTGGCCCCATAGGGAGCTCTACGGAAGGTCCCAGTGGCACCGCCTGCATGCGTCCGCCACCACCCAACACGGCCCTTGCTCCCTGCGTGTCACCCACCCAGTACAGCGCTTCGTGGCCCCATAGGGAACGCAAACGAAGACAATATTCACAATTGCGGCACTCACAACTGCATATGGTTGGGCCTTTCGCCCGGCTAATTGTTGTTCGTGTCGGCAGGGGGGTGGAAAACGAGTAGAGCAGCACGATACACAAAACGAAAACAAAAACATCGAACACACAACGTTTGGGTCCAGCCATGATGCTCCCATGTGCAGGGGGGAGTCAGAAGGAGGAGATCCATCGAGTTGACGTGCATCTTTCCTTGGCGGCTGGTGGTCGTATCCTCTCCCCTCCCATCCTCGTGTGCCCCTTCTTGTTGTCTTCTCCCCTGTGCTTCGTGGCCCCATGAGGTTCGGAGGAGGGGGGACTACGGCGATGATGATGAGGAGCAGGACTCGTGGACACCGATGGGAGCGGTAGGCTCATGGGGGAAAGCATCGACCGCACACCGATCGCCGATGGGGCCGCGGTAGCCCATCCCGCCCAGGACCGTGCGGATCCACTATCGGGGGCCTATCGCCGATTGATCGGCGATGCATCGCCGCTTCAAGCCCCTCGGGGACGACGATAAAGTTGAGGACGACGGCGACGACGAAGACGACGACGACGACGTTGTAAATCGCATCGCTAGCAATTAATTAAATCAGAGAATCACGGGGTTTTCGGCCTGCCCAGAGGGCTGCCAAAATATGTGCGAAGTGGTATGTGTGCAATGGCTGGACATCAAGAGGGTGCCATAACATTTGGAAGTCTCCGCTGGCACAACGCGCGGCCCTCATCACTCCGTTCGCTTTCGATATCCTCAACAGTCTTCAAGTGTCGGTATCCGATACACATGGCGCAAACACAGAATTAACAGAAACAGTACGCTACGCGTATCAAGCGGCAATGCTCCTTCGGGGTCAGACGCTCGATCGTATTGATATCGCCCCCCCCCCCGCCCGTCTACACCGCGCCACAGCCACGTGGCGCGTAAGGACCTAGGCTTCCACGACGCGCGTCCCCCAACCAAAAAACTTCAGCATCATCCTTCAACATATCTCCCGTCCCAATTCCTAACCTAACGCAACCGTCCTCCCCCTTTTTTGTCTGGTCTATTAATCGTAATATGATTCAGTGCGCTGAGCGTGCACTCGTTCAGCCTCTCCCTATGTTCCGTTGGATTCGTCCCGACTTGGGGATCTTTGGCTTCAGTTGTGCACCACCGTATCGTGAGTTTTCCCTCTTCTGTACGTTCTTCCTCCCTTCTTGTCCTCGTCTTCCTTCCGCACTAGCGGGCCGTAATTCGTGACATTTTCGTTGCGTGCCCCCGCTTCTGTAGGGTAGCGCCACTTGTTTCCTCCCTCGTCGTCCTCCTCTCCTCCCTCCTCTTCCCCTCCCTCATGCCCCTCCTTCTTCTCCCAAAAGATTGCGCTGGAACAAAAAGTTTTCTTGTAGCCCCCCCCCGCCCCGCAACCCGCCACCATTGAGGTGGCTTCCCCTGCTAAGCATCATAAGTTGCCTTTGTTCCATGGCGTCGGGGGGAGCCCGTGCCAATTCTTGGGTGTCTCTCCCGTTCCGCCCTCGAGGCTGGATCTGTTCGGAATCTCGGGGCCCGAAATAGGTGAGGGTGACAACATCAAGACGACAAAGAGAAGATGGATCATGAAAGGGGCGCGAGGAGTCAGGAGGTAATGATGAAATGAACATGAAAGGAAGGACGAAGGGGGGAGGGGAGGGGAGACGTGGTATACTACATTTTTCGGTACCAAGCAGGTCACGAAACAACAGACAACACCAGCAATTCGCCCCCAAATGGTGAAGGTCGTCGCCCGAATCCACCTGGTATGCCGCGGCGCGAAATTCATGACAATGAGCAAACTAAACATCAATAGGCCCTTCCGTAACAATTTTTTGCTCAACTATGCGCATTTGTTCTTTTCGCGCGGGAGTGTTTTTTCAGACTCAGTCGTTTTTTGTTTGTGGCCCCGGGGCACGGTGAGGGCCCCAGGACGCCGAAACCTGCAAAACTTTGTCCGTCGTGATTTTTCGGGACTCGAGGGGAGGAGGAGGAGGAGGAGGAGGAGGAGGAGGAGGAGGAGGCGGAGGAGAAGGAGAAGGAGGCGGAGAAGGAGGAGGAGGAGGAGGAGGAGGAGGAGGAGGTCTGGGTTCGTGGCCCCAGAGGTGCTCTGGGACGCGCGGGAGGGCGGCATTGAGCCGGGGCGGTGGGCTGGCCCGCCGGACCTGGCGGGCCTGCTGCGCCTGCGCATCGCCGCCGCGGCGGCGCGGCGGCGCGCCGCGGGGCTGCCCGCGCCAGGGCGGGACGAGGCGTTCAGGCCGAGCGTCCCCCCGGTCTGGCGGATCCCAACCATGTACACGCCAGTCGTTGAAGGCAGGTATCCCTGGAATCACAGGTCCCAATCTGCTTGAGGCGCCTTCCTGCTTCAAGAATCGGTATGATGTCGCTGTGTTTTTGCAATTCTCTGGGAGGGCCTGAACCCAATCACGTTATCCGCCTTCCTACTTCATGTTTCTACCCATTTCTCACGACCGGCGTGTACACCACCACCACCTCCTCTTCTCCTCTTTCCTGGGGGAGTGAAGGGGCGAGGGAGGTGGTGGTGGTCTATATTTTTTGGGGGCCCCTGTTTTTCGGCGCGATCGAGATGGGTTGCTACCCATACAGCCAACACGGTTTTTTGTCGTCAGTCTCGGCCTCCAGAGGCCTTCGCCGGGCCCCGGGACCGTCAGGACACGTCTTGGGATGAAAAGCTGGTCCCCGGGAGTGGGTCGATACTTCTAGGGATCCCAAATTGAAATAATCACGACATCGGGTAATTATTTGGCTACGTGGGCCGCCCCCCCTCGTGGGCAACGGTAGCGATCGTATATAACCGGGCGGGGGGGGACAACGTTCATTGTGTTCGAAATCCTGTTTATGAAGAAATCTACCAGAGAGCAACAAGAACAGCGGAGGGGACATCATCGGAAGCACTACCTTGGCTCCCGTGAGCGGCGTGCCCGGATAGTGCCCGTGTGGCAGTTGGTGGGCTGCGGTCGGGGGATCGTTGCTTTGGCAGCGTTGCTGGGATACTGCTCCGCGCTGGGGCGGGACGAGTCGTTCAAGCCGAGCGTCTATCTTTCGGCGCGGCCGAAGTGGGTACGGAAAGGCTGGCGACGAAGACCGACAGCAGCTCCTGCCCATGGTGAACAGGAGCTGCTGCTGGGGTCGCCGCGGACTTGGTCCATCTGAGACAGCAGGTCGCCTGCCAAACAGCGGTCGCTGTCGGATCTGGGCAGCATGTGTTGTTGGGCATATACCCTGAGGGAGGGAGAGTCCTGCGGGAAGCGGATCCTGAGGATTGTCGCCGTTTTTCGGGCTCGGGGGCCCACCACGGACCCCGGGACTGTCAGAAAACGATTCAGGACGAGGCGTTGGTCTGAGGGGAGGGCCCTGGGGTCCAGGATCCATGTTCCTCAGGACCCGTGCCCTTCATGCTAAAGGGTACTTCCTTGTCCTGTACCTGTTTCGGGCGTGTGAGCCTTTGATCGGCCGAACGTCGGGAACCAGGCTGGACCGAGACAAGTCACCACCCAAGTCCAGGCGTCGGGGTTGCGAGCCTAGGGGAAGCAGGAGGACTGGACACTTCAGGCGGACTAGAGATCGCACGCCAGCATGGGCGTGCTACGGGATTCATCCCAATCCTCCACCCCCAACTGGGCCCAAAGGTCTATGTAGGAGGGCCAGGAGGGAGAGGCGAAAAAAAAACTGGCAAACCCACGCCAGGGGGACGATGAAGGAGGATGAAGGGGGAGGGGGAGGAGGGGGATGAATAGGAGCACGAGGAGGAGAAAAGAGGAGGTGCTGGAGTAGGAGCAGGAGTGCCGTGGCGGCAGCAAGAGAGGGCGGGAGGATGTCTACGGAATGGTGGGGCGGACTGGCGTGGTTCATTCCGCCGTCAGTTTCCAATCCTATGGAATGTACGTAGTTCGATTCAGAAGACGGGGGGCGTATTTTTCGCTCTCCATCTCGTCGGCAGTGCGAAGTGTAGTTTTCTTTTCGGCGCCGGGCTAATGTCGGCTAAAGGCGATGCTGCCGCTTCGTCGTGGCGATCATTATTTATTCGCTAGAGCGTTGGGGGCAGGGCTCACGAGCGGGCGAACTCTCACCTCCGCCCAAGCCCCATGCACATTTCGCCTTGACGTGGCGTTCCCGCTCTGGCGCGGTGCATGGTCTTGGGTCGCCCAGTCGCGGGAAAGCTGCAGCAGCATCAGGGCCGTGTGAGAGCGGGCGACATGTGGTTTTCGCCCAGGCGCCGCCACGATTCCGCTTGAAAATCTGCAGCGACGATTCGGTGCGTTGCACGATTCGTCTCGGCCGCGGTAGTCGGAAATCTGCCCGCATGGGAGGGGTAAGAGAACGCTCTGCCGCAGAGCAGCGCAAGGATTTCGTGGAAGCTCTTGTGGCGCAATTCCGCGGCTCACATTTTCAGCCTCGCCAGGTCGTCGGAAGCGGGAGCGCGCGCGAACGCTTTCCGTTCGCTAGGGGGCACGCGCGCAAGTCCCAGTACCAAGTTGCGTCACCGTTTGCATGTATATTGTGGGGGATGGTGGGAATTTGCGCGGCCCGTTGCTTCGTTAGACTTGTTTAGCTTCACGCTTACCCATATCCCCACTCTTGGATGAACTTCTGCCCGTGCGCATACTTGTATTCTGCATTCCCCATCGTTGAGTGGTCCACGTCCTCTCGATTTCGCCCAAACGTTGTTCAGCGAACGTGCCGACATGCTCGGTCCGAATGGCACGTGGCACGACAAACCGACACGCCACCTTGATGCCAGCTTTCTCTCGGCAGACCCATTGGAAGGCCAGCCTCCTGTTCAGCACGTGCAGGAGGATGGCAGCGCGGCGCACAAACGCTTATGAATGAGGCAAGGGCGAATGCGCGGCGCACCCTGTGCTCACTCCTCGTAAGTGTGCACGCGCCAAAGACACCGTGATCCAAGTGCACAGGCACCCCACCGTGCAAGAACAGCGGCGCGGTGAACATCGTGGTCGGTTCGCACGCGAGTGAGCTCACGAGCCGAAATGTGGCCGCGCTTTGCTGAGATCCCCGCCATCGCTTGTGAGCGATGCCCAAACAAAGGAGGTTGTTTGCGCCGACATTGGCGCGTAAGCTGCTCGCGTAAGTTCGAGCGTAAGCGCCCTCGCGTAAGGTCGCTGTGTGATCTTGCGTACGGGCCGTGTCTTCTCGTCCCTCACATGCGTGCTGACCGCCATGGTGATGCCGCATTGCGGCCTGCCTGCCTGCCAGACTCGAGTTGCGGCTGGACTGCCTCTGCCGCTCGGGCAGGTAAATCCCGTTCGATCCGCCCGGGAATTCGCACATCTCAGTTGTGATTCGCATAGGGTTCGTCAGTGCCCTGCACACTGTCAACTATCGAGTTGTGCCGGCGCTGGTCCCAATGTCACTGGAGAGAGGGCGTGGGTGGGCGGGGACCGCTCTGACGCTTGAGCTCCAGAATGCTACACTTGCCAGTGTTGTGGGATGATGTGTTGTTCCACTTCGTTTACGTATCCCGTCTTCCTCCCTGCTTTGCTCAGCCTTATCGCCCACCTCCGCCTTTCCTTCTGCGCGTATGGTGTGGACCCGTCGCGTCTGAGAATGTTTCGCTTCCTCCTTTTATTCTTCCATGTCCTCTTCTCTGGTCTCGGTGTCCAGAGTTCAGCTCCCGCGAACACAAGCCAGTGCACGTTCCATCCTTTGAGTGTGCGGGGCATTCAAGATTGCCCACAGGCTGGTCAACAGCGACGGCGACCATATCTCGGGCCTCGTCGTGGACGTGTCCCCTCAGTTGGCTGTCGTGTACTGATCGCCATGGTTGGCCCGATTCACCATCTGGCAAATACAATCTGCGCTCGGCATGGGATGGGCTGGGGGATGCGCCCCGAAGTGGTAAGATCTCGACTTTTTGCTGTATTCGTGAATGCAGCAGGGGCACCCCATCAGTTGCGCAAGCAGCCTGTCCCAACTCGCGAGATGATGCTCTTTTTCTGCACGCCGCGGGGGATGAAAGTGCGAGGACAGGGTGGGGGGGGTTCAAGCCCCCCCACCTCGGTGCCGGCGCTGGCGCCGGCGCTGGCGGCCGCCAGCAGCACCGACAGCGGGGACGCAGCGACGACCAGAGGCAGCCCAAAAGAGGGGGGGCGGTTCAACCCCCCCCTCCCCTGGCGCCAGCGCCGGCGCCGGCGCTGGCGGCGGCCAGCAGCGCCTGCGCTGGCGCCGGTGACGGCGGGGATGCAGCGACGATTACCACCACTGCCACCACCGCCACCATTACCACCACCACCACCACCGCCTCAACCCACCACCACCACCACCACCACCAACCCACCACAACCGCCACCACCACCACAGCCAAAACCACAACCACAACCACCACCACCACCACCACCACCACACCTCACCATTACCACCACCACCACAAAAACCCACCACCCACTACTACCACTTCCACCACCATCACAATCTACCACACCACCACCACCACCACCATCGTCACAACCACCACCACTACCAGCAGCACAACACACAACAACCACCACCACAAACCACCACACCACCACCACCACCACCGCCACCACCACCACCAGCACCACCTCCACAAACCACCGCCACCACCACAACCCACCACACCACCAAACCACCACCAAACCACCACCACCGCACCCACCACCCACCACCACAAGCACTACCACCACAACAAACCACCACGCCACCACCACCACAACCACCACCACGGCCACCACTTCCACCACCACAACCCACGACCACCACCACCGTCGCCCTCGTCGACGCTCATCGCCGCCGCCGCCCGCCGCCGCCGACGCAGGCGCCGGCCCGAGGAGGGGAGAGGGAGGGTGGGGAGGTTCGAGCCCCCCCCTTTCCGTCACGGGAGGGGGGGGGGCGGTCCGGTTCCCCCCCCCTCTCCAAGCGACCACAGAACGCGCTCTTTCGGCGATGATGATTGGGTGGCGGTCCAGGTGGCGGCGGTGAAACTAGCTGTCCAAGTGTTGGTGTAAATTGTGGTGGCGATAGCGTTGGTAACGATGGTGAATGTAGTACTGTTGGTTCTAGATGGCATCCGTGATGGTGGTGATTGCTTTTGTGTTCCGATGATGCTGCTGGCGATGGTGATGGCGATGGTGGTGCTGTGGTGCGGGTGAGCCAGCTGGTAACTGCCCTTGTGGCGGCATTGGCGGCGGTGGTGTATCAGGTGAAATGTCGAAGGCGCTGAGGGTGGTCGTGGAAGGAGTGGTGGGAATGACGCGATGAATATGGCGGTGGTGCACGGCGTGACAAATCATGATGGTGATAGCACCCACGTCGTCCCACCTTCCACCATTATTGGTCGTATCGACATCACTGCCATCTGGTCCGCCGGCATTATCCTCACCGTGTGCACCGCCAGCGACGCATGGAACATCACCCCCACCACCGCCCTGGCCAGCAACGACTACCACCACAATGCAAGCAACAGTCAAGCATCGCGACCTTCAAATGGAATCCTTTTGTGGAGATCTGCAGACTGATTCCCACTGCGGAGGGTGCACTTGTTTTTTTGGACAAACTTACAAATTGACTCCAGTTGGAATTCCTTTGTAGGCTACATTACACAATGTTTCCTATAGTGTCGGACGCAATCGAAATCCTTGTGTACGGATTTGCGTACTGATTCCTATGATGCGGCCTTCGCATGGCATCCCCTTGTGGACAACTACAATTTGATTTCCAGTGTGTCGGATACGCTTGAAATCCTTATGTCTAGGTTTACAATGTTTGATTCCTGTTGTGCGGCCTTCAAATGGAATCCTTTTGCGCTTGGGGGGGGGAGACGACCCGGCCTACGAAAAAGGCTTTGCGTCGGCGGTTAGGCAGAGGGTGATTGCGCAGGCGGTGGGAGGCTTATGCGGGGATGCCGTTGGAGCGAATTGTGCCACCATGCAATGAAGAGGTGGAGGGGGGAGGACGCGGCCGTTGGAAAACTAGGACGGGGCGGTCTCAGGGGCCAGAGCGCTCCCCGAGCGTGCGGCGCCGACGAAACAGACAAACAATACAGAAGAGACAAAGAAAATGATCTGGGTGACCAAAGATGCTATGTTTTTATGTGTGTATTGGTTGAAATTGTGAATCATCAAGAGACAAACGACCATACTTTGGATGTCTAGAACAACTGTGGTTTCGCTACGTCTAGGCATTTATTCCAAAGTGACTCCTATTGCGCGACCATGACATCTGATCCTTCTGAAGGGCCCTACAACTGTTTCCTATCGTCCACGATAAATTTGAAATCCTCTGGTACAAGCCTACACATGGATTCCTATTGCGCGGATATCAAGTGGAATCATTTTTTTGTGGTGTGCTGCAAATTGGCTCTTGTCGTGTAGAGGACACCGAGGGGTCCTTTTTGCGCGTGCTAGCACATTGGTTCTTGTTGTGTGGCCTTCTGATGGGATCCCTATGCGGTTGGCCCGAAGGAGGAGAGGGGGGAGGGGGTTGGGCCAACGAAAAAGACAGACAACAACGACAATTTGGGGAACCAAACGCGCTGTGTGTTTGAGTGTAGCATGGTTTTACGTGTAAACCAAACACGAAAGACCCTCCCCCAAAAAAACATTAGCCTGGCGAAGGACCCAACCATATGCAGTTGAGAGTACCGCAATTGTGAATATCTTCTTCGGTGGCGTTCCCTATGGGGCCACGAGCCGTATGAGGGGTGTGCCGAAATGCGTGGCAGTGTACACAACACGAACGAAGACGATAGGTCCGAATATGAAAGCTTGAGCGCGTGCGAGTCGGATCGCGATCGAGTCTGATTATGAATGAATCTGCGCGCGATTGATTCTATTCGCATGAATGCGTGCATGGATACGCCCAGTGTAAATGTATGTATACGACTGTGAACAGTTTGGGTCTGCGTGACTCTCGGTACTCGTGACTCTGAGCGTCGCCTCTGCAGGGGGCTTCCCTGGGAACCCCGACGGCAGCGCCCGCGCGCCGCGACGCCCATGTCGGCACGCCACACAGACGCATGCGGACGCGCACGCGACGCCCATGTCGGCACGCCACACACCTGGTGCTGCGGGACGCATGCGGACGGCAGCACTGGGGCCTTCGGTGGAGCTCCCTGTGGGGCCACGAAACGTGTGAGGGGTGTGCCGAAATGGGTGTGCGGGACGCATGCGGACGGCAGCCATGGGGCCTTCGGTGGAGCTCCCTATGGGGCCACGAAACGTGTGAGGGGTGTGCCGAAATGGGTGTGCGGGACGCATGCGGACGGCAGCACTGGGGCCTTCGGTGGAGCTCCCTGTGGGGCCACGAAACGTGTGAGGGGTGTGCCGAAATGGGTGTGCGGGACGCATGCGGACGGCAGCCATGGGGCCTTCGGTGGAGCTCCCTATGGGGCCACGAAACGTGTGAGGGGTGTGCCGAAATGGGTGTGCGGGACGCATGCGGACGGCAGCACTGGGGCCTTCGGTGGAGCTCCCTGTGGGGCCACGAAACGTGTGAGGGGTGTGCCGAAATGGGTGTGCGGGACGCATGCGGACGGCAGCCATGGGGCCTTCGGTGGAGCTCCCTATGGGGCCACGAAACGTGTGAGGGGTGTGCCGAAATGGGTGTGCGGGACGCATGCGGACGGCAGCACTGGGCCTTCGGTGGAGCTCCCTGTGGGGCCACGAAACGTGTGAGGGGTGTGCCGAAATGGGTGTGCGGGACGCATGCGGACGGCAGCCATGGGGCCTTCGGTGGAGCTCCCTATGGGGCCACGAAACGTGTGAGGGGTGTGCCGAAATGGGTGTGCGGGACGCATGCGGACGGCAGCACTGGGGCCTTCGGTGGAGCTCCCTGTGGGGCCACGAAACGTGTGAGGGGTGTGCCGAAATGGGTGTGCGGGACGCATGCGGACGGCAGCCATGGGGCCTTCGGTGGAGCTCCCTATGGGGCCACGAAACGTGTGAGGGGTGTGCCGAAATGGGTGTGCGGGACGCATGCGGACGGCAGCACTGGGGCCTTCGGTGGAGCTCCCTGTGGGGCCACGAAACGTGTGAGGGGTGTGCCGAAATGGGTGTGCGGGACGCATGCGGACGGCAGCACTGGGGCCTTCGGTGGAGCTCCCTGTGGGGCCACGAAACGTGTGAGGGGTGTGCCGAAATGGGTGTGCGGGACGCATGCGGACGGCAGCCATGGGGCCTTCGGTGGAGCTCCCTGTGGGGCCACGAAACGTGTGAGGGGTGTGCCGAAATGGGTGTGCGGGACGCATGCGGACGGCAGCCATGGGGCCTTCGGTGGAGCTCCCTATGGGGCCACGAAACGTGTGAGGGGTGTGCCGAAATGGGTGTGCGGGACGCATGCGGACGGCAGCCCTGGGGCCTTCGGTGGAGCTCCCTATGGGGCCACGAAACGTGTGAGGGGTGTGCCGAAGTGGGTGATGACGATGACGATGACGACGATGACAATGACGATGATGATGATGATGATGATGATGATGATGATGATGATGATGATGATGAGGATGACGATGATGATGATGATGATGATGATGATGATGGGAGGAGAGAGGAGAGGAGAGGAGAGGAGAGGAGGAGGAGACGCGGACCACCGTCTCTTCAAAACGAGGACCCAACACCACAGGATGGTTGGGAATAACACAACTTGGAAGCAGGGTGAACCTTTGTTTCCACAGCGTTTGCGCATTTACAAATTCAATCCGTTTGTGTTGCTCTCACATAACGCCCTTTTTGTGGGGATCTACACATGGACTCCGATTGTGTAGGTGTCAAA